TCTAGATAGATGAAAATGACCGTCTTCCAATTGCATTGCGCATCAAATGGATGCAGGATCTGAGGACTCATTTCATAACACTCCCACTGTGTTTCTTACGGTTCAGTAACAGTTATTGTTTCAGTTTTCGGAACCGAGCTTTAGTTAATCCTTTAATCAGTATATCCGCCAATTGTATTTCAGTTATACAATACTGTATCTCCACTTTCTTAGCTTTTCTTAACACTTCTGCCGCTTTTCGTACAAACCAATAACCTTGTCAATGTGTTTCGTACGTTGACAGCCAGGATTTTTTGTGAGGGAAATAGCTGCTTGATTATCACAATTTAATAATATTGGCTTTACCTCTTTTTCGTCTACATCTTGTAAATTTACCAATAATTTACGTAACCACATTAGTTCTTGTGCCACTTTGGTAAGTGTCACGAGTTCTGCCTCTGCTGTTGACAGAGAGAGATTGTTTTTTATAATCTTGATGATCAATTTATTGGTCCACCTTGTAGAAATAATTAGTGAATATATCCACTAGTTGAACATCGCTCGTCTTCGTCTCTGGCGAAGTCTACATCACTATAACTTACTGGTTTCTTGCTACCCATTTGTTTACTGTAAGTTATACCTTCTACTACTGTTTCCTTTAAATACCTTAAGATCCTCTTAGCCGCTCTCCAATATTAAAGTCGTGAATTTTGAAAATATCGACTTAGTACATTTACTCCAAAAGCGATGTCAAAACGCGTTACGTTAGCTGCAAACAGTAGAGATCCTATTAATGATGTGTAGAATTCTATCCATTTCTTCTTTTTCAATCTGAGTATTTGGACTCATTTTTTTCGACAGACGAGTATATGGATCGACAGGTGTAGCCATTCCTTTAGCTTCTTTCATATTAAATCATTCAATTAGCTGTTGTATGTAACTTGCTTGATGAATCTTTAACTAACTTTTATCGCGATCTCGTTCAATTTCCATTACAATGAAACACTTTGGTTCGCTTATCTTAATGTCGAATACTTTACTATTAGGTGTTGGAATTAATTCGTAGCGTTTTTTAATGAAAGAATGTTATTTATTTCACATGAGCATTAAAAAATACATTAATGAAAGTACTTCCCATCACTTGTAAAACGCTACGAATTAATTCCAACACCTAATAATTTGATTAAGAAATATTCTTAATGTATTCTTGGACTTATAAAAAACTAGTTCGTCGTTGACATACAGTACTAAATACATTTTATCCGTACCATATTAACCGACATAAATACAATCATCTGCATCTGACTTTTGTAAGTTGAATTCAATCAGTACATTATTTAGTTGTTCCAGCAATGGGGACTCTGTTTTAGTCCATATAAGGATTTCTGTAACTTGACGACTCGTTCTTTTGATTGCCACAGTTTCTCAGGTAATTTCATCCAGATTTCTTCTTTTAATTCACCGTATAGGAATGCAGTCTTTACATCGAATTGTAGTATCTCCATTTCTTCTGCAACTGCCATTGCTAATAGAATTCGAATGCTATCGTGCAAACAATCGGTACGTAAAAAAAAAAAAAAAATAGTCAATACCATATTTTTGACAGAAACCACGAGCCATTAACCTAGCTTTATATCTGTGAGATGACTTTCCAGATGTCATCTTCTTTTTAAAGATTCATTTGCAGCTCACTGGCTTCTTATTTATAGGCTTTCCTTGCACTACTCAGATACCATGTTTCTGATGTATAACAATCTCTTCATCAAAGATTCACATGTAGCTAGGTTCACCCGTGGATATGTCCATTGATCTGATTGCTTCAAGTTAGATCGATCGCGCAGATTTCGTTGGATCTTGTTGTTTTTATCATCTTCGTCAATAGAGTGCTCTGAATCCCCCTTTTCAGACTTTAACTCTTCCTCTGTAGACTTGGGCTGTATTTGTTGGCCTTCATCATCTGTATCTTCTAATTTTTCTATTACAGCTCTTTCGGCTCTCACTGTTTTTTGAAAGTAGAAATCTCCTCTTCTATCTACGAAATTGACACTTGTTGCAATCATCAATTTGTAAGTATTTAAATCTATTAGTCGATAGTTATTTTCTCGATATAATTTTGTAAAACAAGAATTTGAACGTCACCTTTTTCGAATACCTTTAATTTTCGATTATCTCCAAATAAAACGTTTTTGTGTTCAGATTCCTCGACTTTTTCGAATATTAACTTATCAAAACTCATATAAAATGAGTCAGCCAGCCATATCTCTTGTTTTAGAACTATGTTTGTTTCTACAGTACTGGCACGTGCGAAAAACAATCCATTATCGTGATCTACACTATTTTCATTAGATTGAGCTTTATTTTTCTTCTTATCAATTGACTTTGTTCTATTCTACTTTCCGCAAATTTCTTGCAATTTTCTCGCAAAAATAGCACTCACCGCTAAATTTGTTATGTTTGTTTTTCTCTGTTCCTTTCTTGGTTGTTTTCTTATCACTTGACTTTTTCATCGTAGCAGCTGCTAAGGCCTCGACTTCTTCATTTTCTATCTTCACAATTTCTTCAGCAAAAATTAATTCTTCTTCGAGCTTCTGTAGAGATCGACGCGTATTTTCTCTTCCATTCCATGACAATACAAAGCTTTTATATTTTGACAATAGCAGTCCATTTATAATTATCGTTTGTAGCATCTCATCTGATACTACTTTACCGATTACTCGTAATTGATGAGCCAAGTTTTTTGCTTCTGCAACATAATCAGTCTTTTACGCCTGCCTCTAGTTTTAAAATTTAAAATTCTCTTTTGTAGCGTCATAATAGCTGCGGACCTTTTCTCAAATAAATCACAAAGTGTGTGCCACATTTCCTTATTTATAATTTTTGTCAATACATGTTTAATCAATCAATTATCTAATTTTGCCGAAATGCAATACTTAGCTTATGCAGATTCCTTCTTTTTCCGTCTTTTCACTGTTTCCATGCTCGTCCTGTCTGTGAGCTCTTCTATTATTCCTTCCACGACGTCCATAACCTCTCGTTTTTCAAATAGAAACTGCATTTTAAACTTCCAACTAACGAAATTGTCTTTAGACAAGACTTCAATATGAACGAGATCTTTATTGGTCATTTTTAGCATTGTCCCGAATCTCTGCACCCTTGCATTAAATTTTGGCGATCCAAAACTTTTGACCTTCCTTGTCGTTACAACAAACGAATGTATATATAATATTATCTTGTAACCAGTGGAAGCGTGCTAGACCCGTTGAGCGTGCATAACCTGTTGATGTAGTCTAGGATCCAATAAGCATACAGATGATTTATCGAGATAATAAATGTTTAGTTTTTATTGTATTATGCAATGACGGGAAAATTTGTATCTCACACAGATAGTATATAAAAAGTATCAATGAGCAAAAATTGAATGAATGAACATGACTACAAAAAAATAGGTTGATAACTCAAGAAAGAAAAAAAATTATTTATAGTAGTGCCTAAGGAGAACGTTATCTCTGCTGGATAGATAAAAATAGCCGCCTTTTAATCGCGTTGCGTCAAATAGATGCGGGACCTGAGGACTCACTTCATAACACATTCAACATAGCAATGTAAAAAACTTAAAACTGAATTTCGCGATAATTAGATACAGATTACTTTTTTTGAAATTTAAGATTTTGATGCCAGAATCAAATTTGACAAAAACCATATAGTTTAAAAAACGAGGTCTTTTTATAATTTTTTTTGTTAGAAAGCTCCCATTCTCAAAAGATACTAATTAATTTCAAGAAATCTAAGATATAATGCTACCTAGTTTTTTTGAACTATGTCAAAAGTATATTAAAAGAGCGTTATATAAGCCAAATACAAGTTATTCTTGTAAAAATTCTTTCTATCCGTTTGTAATGAACATAAACGGCATAACTTGTGTAAAAAAGGATGAATACTAACAAGGGAAAACTCAGAATCATCTAGTCTTTATCGATTTCAATGAAACGTGAAAGGAATATAGTATTTTCCTGAACGTTTATTAGAGGGTTTATACTAGAGTAGATATTTGAAGAAACGTATATGAATATGGTAATAGTCTCTTTATTTACAGACTCGAATTTAAATCTCATTAGCAATTAATTTGTTTCTTTATATAATAGTGTTTTATGATAGGAATAAATGTTAATATAAAACATTAATTATTAATTATTATAGATTTTTATTATGGATTGCTACTTTTACAAATTTTAAGGTAAAAGTTTTGATAAAAACATAAAACATAAATTTTTTAAGCACTATGAATTCGAATATAAACTTTAATGAATTGCCGCTATTAAATTTAATATTGAAATATTTCGGAACCAGTTGACCGTCTACGCCCATAAATAGGGATATATGATTATATTTATGAGAATATAATACAATCCTGCCACGTTTCATAGAATTTCCAAGGCTTCTAAGGTTTCCTTTGTAAGTATTTTAATAAAAAAAATCCAAATTTTTGCGGAAGTAACGTAAAGAAAATTGAATTGCTTGATATTTTTGTATAAAGTGACAATTGCTTATATAAAATAACAATAATAAATACAAGAATTAAGAGCTAATAGTAAATTCAAATAATAATGTATTTTTTATCTTAACATTATTTTACGGAGAAAGCTGATTTATTTTTACTCATCCTTTGTTAGTCAAACAATCACTATACTGTGGGTTTAATAGACTCACCATCTCCGGAGGTATGTAATTAAGTGGGTCCAATAGATCTACGTTAGCCCCGAAGAATTAAAATATTATCTCTTGAATGTGTTGATCTTTATGTTTTTCAAATTTTAAGGGTTGAGTGTTTAAAATCTTTAAATGCTGAGATCCTTGTATTTATGGATTATTTTATGAGTAAATTAAGTTTTGCACAACGAATCATTATATTCATTCGTATATATACACACACATGATATATAATTCATGAGAACTTAAAGACGCGTGGTCAGACGATTGGTATTTCGGATAGGGATGTCTGACTTGCTAATTTCCTGTTTTAGGAACCAAGTTCCTTTGCAGCGAGGTGATAGCGCTAATAAAGAGCGAAGTGGACGACATTTGCCTGCAAATCATAAACTTCGAGGATCTGAGCTCACAACCGCCGCCGCAGGCCGCGATCCCACCGCCGAGTCAGGCCAACAACAGACTCGCAACACGCTGTATGTTCCAATTTTATTCGTTCTACTTCGACTCGTCTCAATGCACGCGCGTGCTCAAATTTTCGTACGAAAATTCACCGTAACATTCACGACAGTGGACTTCGAAATTCGATAGCACGTCCGATATTTCACGAGAAGTTTCGCTGTGCTCAATTGCTGTTAATAAATATAGTGGATAAACTCGAGAACGACCGGTAATAGCATATTAGAGTTTTACTACGAGAAAATTTTTTAGTGTATTTGTGATTATAATTGCATGATAAAATAATAATTATTATTACATAATAAATAATCTTTATTTATTTAGGAGCTCCATTTTTATAGATATCACTATGTTATTAATAATAATTATTATATTTATGTTCTATGCACCATTCAATAGAAACATATATGCTGTTTCCGAAAACGACATTGTATAAATTATAAAATTATTATTTTCGAGGACAATCGTATATTCTTGATATATATAGAATTTTGAATATATATGTATAAATATGATAATTACTAACATTATAGCACAATACATCTATTCTAGTTCTATTTATGATTGCATTTCAAAGAAACTGAAAAAGATTTCAATACGCGGTTTGCAAAATCAGATATGTATTATATATAAATTCACAGCGAAATATTTAAACACTAAGATCCGCTTTTTAACTAAAAATATGATTCCTTTTACTTAATTAGATTTATTCTCATCGGTCTATTTTTTAAATTTATACATGTCTCCTTGAAAAATGTTTTTCTATTAGTTATTGATTATTGCGACAAATATTACCGAAGTTTCAATGGTCGAATCGAGAACAAGTCCATATGGAATTCGGGAAATCCGGATTCGAATCCCGGTTCAGGTAATATAATATTTTTAATTTTTCACAATAAATTATTCGCAATTTTTAAGATTCTTATTTTAAGATTAGATTATATATACATATATTAATACTCTTATAAGATGTACTAGTATCAATATTATTCAATTGTTCGTCAATTTAATGTGATATTACTATTTTAATTCTCTGTTCATGATTGCATTTCAAAACTTGAAAAAGATTTCAGCTTGCGGGTTTGCAGAATTGGTTACGTATTGTACATTCACACTGAAATATTGTATTTGAGTACTAAGATCAACTTTGGCCAAAAATAGAATATCTCTTATTTGATTATAACATAGTAATTATAAAAATGCAGCTCCTAACCATAATATTTTACCATGTAATTAGTCATAAACCAAAAAAAAGTTATAAGTAAAAAAAAACTTTCTCTCAGTGTAGAAAAAAATTAAAAAAAAAAATTTAATTTTTAAAGAAAAATATCGAAATTTTAAGTCAGCTGCCGTTGCAACATGTGTATCTCGATTAGACCGATTTCAAAGATCTCGACTATACAATTACTGTGTAGATCAAACGGTACTTCTAACGTTTACACACGATATCCTGCCAAGACATTTCGTGCCTCCCACACATACAACGTCTTGCGGCTTTTAAACGCGACTATCATTATTTCCTGCTGCAGCGTCCGTTATAAGACATCGTCGCCGCTGACATTCGGGGCCGCCTCGTTCACAAGTGGGACGTGGCACACGTAGGCTACTCTTCATTGTGACGATCATTATTACGATTATAGATTCAGGTCAGGTGTATCCGCATAATGAGCCGCGTTACAATCCTGCAGAAATTCGGACGCGAATTCTTTCGCGTGCGTAATTACATCGCGTTTACACTGTCATTGTCATTCCTGCACGTGATATGTACGTATGTTTCTTTCTTTTTATTTTTTTTCATTGGAATTTCTCAATCTTTCAAGGTGTATCTCTTCCTTACTTTAAAAGTAACACAACTGAAAAAATGTAATCTCGAATTATCACACACACACACACACACACACACCACATGAATAAATTAGATAAACATTATTCTCATCAAAAATGAAGTAACTTAATTTTATTTTAAAAATCGTCAAAAAATTACAACTAAAAAGAATGATTTTTAAAAACTCATCAAAATTGTCGTAATTAAAAAAAATGATTTTTGAAGGGTTGTAAAATGAAAATGATAAAAATGATATTTAAATATTCTTTTTATCGATATCATTTGATCAATAATTTTCTCTCAAATTGAAAAATAGTTTTTCTTTTCTGAGAAATTTTTTTTTTTTAATTTCTTTTAGTTGTATTACACGAAAGAGAGCGATATGTCTTTATTCCCATATTAATTATTATAATATTTTCACATACATATATTTTTATGAACAGGACAAATCTTGGTTTTTCTTTTATCATTACTGAAAATGCAGAAATTTTGTGTATAAAATACACAAAAATTTACGTTCAATGCTGTTCTTTTGCGTAATATCTACTAAAATCTCTGTATAAAAATGTCATAAAAATTTTTTTTCTGTACCGCCTTATTTATTAATGCAATCTGATAGTGTATTGTATTACAAGTTTCGCATAAACGTCTCTTCATTTTTTCGAACGAATTTAAAGAATATACATATGCATGCGTGCGTATAATATGCGTGTGCACATATACGTGCATACGGAGGACGGGGCACGTGGTTGCATTTTATATCTGGAGTGCTCGCGAAACTATTTTTAGAGTGACGTTGCAGAGCACTGGACGTGTGTGTGGCGCGCCTAACGGTTAACCCTGACCCGGTAATAAATGTTATGCCCTCGAATAGGTAGCTATAGGTGCCTTACCTCCTGTTTGATAATCCGCCCCCTAAGCAGCTCAGCTGATGGTTAGAAACTTGTAACAGAAATCGATCGCAGCGGAAAGTCGCTTAGCATTAACAGCGTGCTTGAGAAAATGCCTTTTTCACGAACGTCACAATGAAAAAAATCGATGGACGCGATTACATTTCCCTTTTTATTTTCACGAAGCTTTAAGTATCTATTGTCACGCGTATTTTTTTTTAATCGAAAAGAAAAAATTTGCTTGTCGAATAAATTGTGATATAATGCACTTATTATTTATGGAGGGAAGTGTAATTTTTCTAGAAAAGTTTGAGAAATTTCATTTAATTTTAGAGACAAAATTTTAGATACATTTTAATTTGTAATGTATTTGATAAATAGTTAATAAAGTAAAATTGTGTATAGCTAAATATAGTGCATATAATTATTTATCGATATAAAATACAGGGGATAAATATAATACTTTACTGGTTTTAAACTCTTTCAAGATACCAATAACTGAATGCGTAGGAATTCTAAAAAGCCTATATAATCCGCAATCAATAGTTCGTACAGTTTGAGATTGTCTCTCCATCAGCTTAGTCTATGCAGCCTTAGCTTCATCAAAATGCAATCAATAACGGATATTTGATGGAGTAATCCATCATCTAAATAAATCGGTCGTCTAGTGTCGTGATTATTACAATTAATAATCATTAAATAATTATTAAAGTATAATTATATCTCACAGAACTCTGTAAGTAGCTTGTCTGCATAATTAAGACATCCTTTTAGAATCTTAATCTTATATAAAGTTATTAATTGTGCATTTGCAATTATTTTTTTTAAATAATTTGCTCTTATTTTATCTTTATTTTAAATTATTCACTTATTCGATTTGTCATCTTTCACTTTGTGAATATATCCATATTTGTTTCCATCCGTTTTCATTTTATTATCGGATCAGCATAATACTGGTTTAAGTCAATATCACATAGGAAAACAACTCGGAAACGGTCCAATCAATTCGCATCCTAATGGCACATTATTCCGGCAGACATTTGTAGAGAACAGTTTTCCTCGTTTTATAACAATCGATAAGTACGCTCTTTCCCAAACTTCTTTATTCACTCATTTTTCATCAACTATACTGACGACGAGCGATCGCAGCTGTAATTTTGTCACCTGGTTTGCATTCGAGTGTGATTACAATGGAGTTTCTTTGTCACGTTTTACCGTAGTGCTTTAATCGGACGCATTTGCATACCGAAATTAAATGTAACGAGCAAATAACGCGCGCATTTTTGCTTATAATTACGGTTTTTTTCAGCACAGTTTGCCTCATTTGCACGCGCGCCAGATATATTATTTTCCAATTAATAAATGATGAATATTAAGTATATGTTAAAATTGATATCTTGATTAGATTTTTAACCCATAATTTAAACATATGGAACAGTTGAGTCTGGGACACTTTTTTCATTTTTAAACAGCGTTGTATAATGATTTATGTTCGTGCGTGCGTGCGTGCGTGCGTGCGTGCGTGCGTGCGTGCGTGCGTGTGTGTGTGTGTGTGGAATAATATTATTTCATAATCTTATTTTTCACAGTTTTTTTATTCATAAGCTAATTATCATATTATATTTTTACTAATAATATGAGCTTAAGTATTTCAATTTTTTATATAGCTAAAAATTTTAAAACTTTTAAAATTAATAATAACAAATTTTATATAAAGATTATACGTTTCGCGGGTTTTCTCCGTGTCCAGATCCATTCTTGGAATGCCAACGTTTCGTGAATCTTGCAGTCCACTTCATCAGGGCGAGGAGCAGCCTGATACTGATGAAGTGGACTACAAGGTTCACATTCTAAGATTTGGTATTCCAAGAATGTATCTGGACAGAAAACCCGCGAAACGCATAATCTGTATATAGAAAGCATCCGTGAAAGCCTCAAGAATATTAACAAAAAATTTTAATAAAGTTAATGACACAAGAGCTAGTCAGTAATTCTCTGAAAAAAGAATATATTAAAAGTTAAAGGTACATTTTAAAAGTAATATACTTTAGTTTATTTCATGCATTTACAATATGGCATCCAATCATAATATAATCATTAATACTTGTTGTTGAAACTTCCGAAATTTTCAGTCAGAATTTTGAGTGAAAATCCTTCAAATCTTTCGAATGTGTCAAGATAACTGTTTCAAAGTAAATATTCGTGCTTCTCGGCTGGCTTCATTTCCATGATTGATCATATTTTCAATCAGATTTACGTCCGGAAATTGGGAAAGCCAATCCATCTATCGATGTCATTTTCATGTTCGTGAAAATCTCATAAAAATCATATTTCCCTGAAAGCTTGATGACTATAATTAATATTAATGATAATTGGATGTCATACCAAGTAAATGCATTTTAGTAAATGTAATGTATTTTTAAAATATAACTTTAATTTTTTTAATATTACTCACCAATCAGTTTCTTTCAGAAAACTGCTGATGATGC